AGTCTAGAGGAGGGGCAAAGGAGGTGAGGGGGTGGGGGCAGAAGGAGGAGACGAAAGCAGATGACAGACTATTGCTAGAGAGCAGGAAAGGAGGTGAAAGGAGACAATTTTAGAGAAGAAAATGTTTCGGTCGCTACCCGGATTCGAACCCGGGACCTTTGAATGAGACGCCAACACTTTAACCTCTAGGCCACGAGATGCATCACTGTGAAATGATGTGATCGTCAATTTAGGCAAAATATTTAACTCTTTTTGGACAAACTCACTTTGGAGACCTCTGAACTGATTACTAATGGTCCTATCAATGTGAAAACTAGCTAGCTGTAAAATTATGTGTCTTCTCTCCCTTTTTGGCTTTTGTAAAAATCGTTTGGATAGAATAGTTTTAAAATGGTTAGGAAAATAAAACTGTCAACAAAAATAAAGATAGCTGCCGTTTGCATTGCTACCGATGAATTTATGAATTGTTTGAAGGTGTAGATTTTCATTCCTCCACATACACATCAACATAAAGATACCAGTACTTGCTTCACAGGTTCTCTGGTTAAAAAGTTGGTTTTCAAGGTTGCAATTCTCCTTATTCGAAAGTACCGACATTTGTTTAGCCTCTGAAATTTCTTCTTTTTTTTTCTTTAGCTCAATACCTTTTATATGTCCAAATAAAACACAATTCTGAGTGAATTAAACTAAAACACGTTGCTTAAAGGCGCAAACTTGTACCGTCGTGGCTAAAATTTAAAAAACACCTGATACTTTCTACATCCTTTAGCAAAAAATGAACATAAAAAGAAAGTTGTCTCAGCATCCGATCGCGGCATTGGGGATTGCCGAGACAACTTCCTGGGCCTTCGGCATATTGTGGTAGGGTGGCCAGTTCCTTTCCAAGCAGCCCGCCTTTACTTCCCCACCTCGAAGCCAGGTACCCATTACTGCTGGATGAGCAGGAGAGGGCGAAATAAATACTTGTATGTGCCCGAACGGAGGCTCGAACCCGGACTTTCCGATTCGGAGACGAAAGCACTAACCGCCCCGCCACCACACGCTCAAATTAATGAAAATAATATTGTTTAGATGTATGGCAATACTTGCATTAAAGTTTTAAGTACCTATATTTATGGTGAGCTGTTGTGAAAATACTTTAGATCAAAATAAGTACTTTGTGTGTCCACCTTATGTATGGATGACCGCTTGGACAGGACTGAGTATGCTAGCTTGTTTGATAAGAGGATTTGACCATTTCTGGTGGAACTTCCTGAGTTCACACGTCCTTGATTGCAACCCTTACGGCGTTGGTGGCCGGAAGTCTGTTTGTTTTGGACTTTGTTTTCATTAATTCTTTTAGAGCTTTTCAGCATGATTGAGGTCAGAGTTAGAGTTTATTTTTGGATGCCTTGCCCTGACCTCAATCCTGCAGAAAAGCTTTAAGAATTGATTAAAACTAAATGCAGTTTCCAAGAACTCTAATAAAGCTTTGTAAGTCACCAAACTTTGGTAGCCATTGTTTTGCTTGTTGTACATCTGAATCAGGCGACCCCACCTCATTCAATCGCAATTATCTCGACTTCTATTCTAGGTAGATGGTTATTTAAAAAAAGACACGACAATTTACCAAGCTTTAAAATATTGATAATAACTCAACATGCGCCCCCCCCAAAAAAAAACAACAACCACACACAAAAAAAGGAAGAGCGCTTGATTCCACCGTTTCGTGACACATTTATTTCACAATCGTCCGTTGTTGTTTTATATTGTAGAAACGAAACAATATTACATATCATCATCATGCTCTCGCTTTTGTCTGTCTGTTTATTTCCGTAGCACTGTAAAACCTCCAATAGGTCAATAAGTTTCATTTTCGTCGAAAAAATTAACAAGGAAGAAAAACAACAACCTAAGTATCAGAATCTTTTATAATTTTTTTAAAGCAGACGTTTTCTACCAACTTCTGACAAATTGAATGGTCCAACCGTGCCTATGGTGAAGAGGTTAGGCACGTTGTTGTCACATGCGAGATCAGAGAATCGGCCACCCCCCC